TACTATACAGGGGCACAATAGGGCACCAAAAGAAATGCAAGCGCGCAAAGTGTTTGACAAAATTTTTTGGGGACAATAGTTTATTATAAAAAAAATTGTGTGCATAGATAATTAAGGCAAGCACGCAAGCAAATATTTTATAGCATTTATTTATTATTATAAAGCATCATGAATAAATTGTACATTCAGATTGTTATTTTCTGCATCATTAAATATCTACCTGAACCAAACTGAATTGAATTGGCTGACTTTTGATCTTAACTGTACATCTCTAATCCAATATTGATGAAGGCAAAATTTATCTTCATTAAATATCTATCAGCAAACAGGAACTTGAAAACTTGAAATGTGCAACTGTAAAAGGAAAAACTGGAGCGGACCTGGCGTTACATGGCATAGTTTCTGAATCCATCGCTCACTTCTAATCTCTCCTGAGGATTTTTCTCTTGCCTCATCTGGCATTTTTTCCCCACTCGGTTATCATTTAGGTTGTGCAATCAAGGTTTTAATCGTTTTTTTTCTTTACTAGGACCACCGTGTTTCTTAATGATAAGATATGATAAACTCCTGGCTCTGTGTTACAGGCAACTCTTAGGCCGCTATCTGCTCTGAGTGGCCGTTACTGGCAAGTGGATTCTAATTACTCCGTCCGCATGTGTCAGACTTAAATTCTAACTAAAGTGGTAGTCTATAGGCCTACTTTAAGAAAAAAAATTAAAACATGCATTCTGTAGATTTGCCCATATGCCAGTGAGTCATACTCAAATTATAACTTTTTTAAAGGCATAAATAAATAAATCGGATCTGCGGTGCCCCAGGCATACCCAGGCACCACAGACCCACAACGGGGCACATGCCCCTGTGAAAAAGGTCTGCCGATGCTTAAGTTGCCTAAAGAAAAAAAGAAAAGAAGCTCTTCTCTCTGTTGATGACAGCTGAGTTTCTTCCTAAATCTCATGCTTCTGCTGCAGCCAGGAGCTTTCAGGTGTATTTGGACCTCAAACCCAGATGATGGTTCCTGTAAAGGATCAGGTGATTTTAAACCAAAGTTTTTCACTAAATAATATTTTATAAACCAACCAGCATACCTGCTCTTTTTCAACAACCCTCAGAAGTCTCAACATTAGAAAATCTTCACTTAAGTAAATTCCTAGGAAAGTAAGCTGAGAACAGAAAGAGAGACTTTAATTTTCTCTTGTTTCTCACAGTAAACTGAACGACTCGGTCCAATGACTTCATGTTCTGATCTCTGGATCATCAAACTCATCCTGCAGGAAGTTGTTCTGTTCAATATGACAAAGTCCACAAACCAGCTATGGTTCTAAACTGCTTTTCCTCCTGGATCATCAGCAAATATGTGACACTGAGATCAGGATGGATTTACAGTTAATTGGACAGAAATTGATGCAAATTATCTGGGTAATCTCTGAGAGATTCTTTCAATAAAAGCAGTGAGAAAACAGTCAAGGTCATTTTATTTCATTTCTATTGAACATTTTAGAAACAAAACAATTTAAAGTGCTTTAAATGAATAAACGATAAGAAATGGAAACATATGGAATTTAAAAAATAAAGTGAGGTAAAGAAGAGTTGGAAACTTAACAGAAGCTAAAAGTGACAATATTTCAATTAACAATTTAAATCAAGTTAGAGACTCTAAATAAACAGCTTTTTAACCTTGATTTAGAGGAACTAATTGTTTTAGCAGTTTTGTAGTTTTCTGAAAATATTAAACACTTTTGTTTAATGTGTTAATTTAAAGATCTGATTGAAGTAATTATTACATCGACATTGTTCTCATTTCATAATTAACTTCAATGATCAGGTTGATGCAAAAACAATGAAAATAACTTTAGTTTTCAATTAACAGCTCAAATCCCTAACCAGACCATGGAAAAAGCAAACAGGCTTAAAGGAGGTAAGAACAGGATAAAAATAAAAAATATAAAAGATACATGTGCAAGTTATGAGAAAAAAAACAAACAAACAAGAGCAATGTGGCTAAAAATGGAGCAAACGTTCATGGATTTCTTAAAGATCTATGTCTTCATATATAACTGTACTTATTTTTCAATGTGAAAAAGGGACCAAAAGAAAAATAACACAAATAGATAATGCCTGAAATTGTCTATTAATCTACAGAGAACAAAATGGAGTAAAAAACAAAACAGATGTTTCCTCATTTTCACTTTTAAAGTGATTATTATACTTTTAATATAGTTGGAAATTGAAGAACCGACATTTTAAAATCTGAAGAGCAATGATTCTTTAACAGGTAACAACAAACAGGTAAAATCCTTCATTTAAATATATTTTTTATTTATTTTAATATATTTGCAATGAAATGTTAAAGAGTGGGTAAGAATAGTGAGAAAGAAATAATTCAAGTTAGTCTTTAGCAATAGAAAGTTCGCCATTTAGCTGTGAAAGATGCTGCAACAGCACCACCTGCTGGAGGCAAACTTAACAGACAGATTGTTTTATTTAAAACTTGAATAACAGGTTAAAGAAACTGAAAGTATTTTCAGACATTATTGAGCTCAGCTGAGACGCCATTACAGGGTGTTAGATCTCTGCTGGAAGACGAGAGAAATATTTGGAGGATTTTAAGAAGAAGCTGAAACTTTGGTGAGTCCTGCTGTTGAAATAATTCATTAGAAAATGGCAGAGAGAGTTTTAGAAAGTTTCCTGAGCTGCCATGTGTGTTCAGAGACTTTCAGAGATCCTGTGTCTCTGAGCTGCAACCACAGCTTCTGTTCAAGCTGCCTGAAGAAATTCTGGGAACAAACTGGAAACAAGAACTGTCCCATCTGTAAAAGAAGATCTTCTAAGGATTATCCACAAGTGAACTTTTGGCTGAAGGAAGTGGCTGATACTTTTGCTGGAAGACAGAAATCTGGATCCTCTGAGACAGAAAGAGGAGAAAAGCAGCTGATGGTGGTCTGCAGTAAACACCAAGAAGACCCTAAACTGTTCTGTAAAGACGAGCAGAGAGCTGTGTGTTCTGTCTGTGAGTTTTCTCTCCACCAGAGTCACAAAGTGGTTCCTATAGAACAAGCAGTCAGTGAGCTGAAGGAGAAGCTGAAATCTGACTTAAAGTCTCTGCAGGACAAGAGGAACAAACACAAACAGGTGGAGAAAACATACAATGACATGATTCAACACTCTAAGAAGCAGTTGTTGTCCACAGAGAGACAGATCAGAGCAGAGTTCAACAAGCTCCACCAGTTCCTGAGAGAGGAAGAGGAGTCCAGACTGGCAGCTCTGAGGGAGGAAGAGGAGCAGAAGGGGAAGACTATCAGCAGAGAGATGAAGAGGATTCAGGAGCAGATCTCCTCTCT